CAAAAACCCCTGTACCTTTTCACTACATGTCCACAAATGCAAACACACAATAGATTTTTAACTGATGAATTCTGTTGCATTGTTTAGCTGCTTGTGTGCTCTTAAAATAACTTACAGAACTGTTGGAAAACAGAGCAGTGTGACTTTGTTTTCAGCATAGTTGAAGCAAATACTTTCAATGTCATTGGGAAGTGATCCAGCTCCCACTTAATACATTAATTATGGAAGTAAGGAATAAATTTTCTAGACTCTGCATTTTGTTTCAGGCGTTTGTTTCCTCTAATGTTTTCAAGACATAACCATTTAAAATCGTCTGCTGCAATGGGGTGAAGACTTAGTTAGCCTCTAGTGGGCCTCTAGTCAATTGCTACAAACTGAGACATGCATTCTCCAGATCATTCAGGGTTTGTAATACTCTAACCAGAAAATTTAAGCATTCATTGTAGATTATCAGTCTTCTTGTTTTTGCACTCCTACTTGACTGCAAAAAGCATCAGTTCATTTATTTCTTCTCACCCTGAAGTTACAGGGAAAGGACATGAATATGTGTAGACTCTCTAAATACAGCTGAGAGGATTGATGCCATAATTATTTTTGTATTTTGCAGTTAGTGTATGCGTTTTACTAGTTCTTTTTTTATTTGTGGGATTTTATTTACTTTTAATCTATATAAATATTTAACAAAAGCTTTAGAAACCATTCAAGACTGACATCTAACATGGCTCACTCAGAAAAAGTATCACAATTCTTATAACTCATCTCAAATATTCTGTACTCAACTGTATGCCGTTTACCAGCAGAACCTGGGTGACCAAAGCTGTAAAAAGATGAGGGAACTACTGAGTCCTGCTCAATAACTGCTTTAATGAAGTATACACTGCTTTTTATAAACTCCTTTTACACAGAGAGCATTTGGTCAGAAAAAGCATGCCAAGTATTACATGTCAAGGTTACATTAGTACAAGGAAGCACAGTTAACTTTAACTCTTTGTTATGTCTCCTTTAAAACGGGAACAGAGAAGCAGGAAAAGCACACAGTCAACGTAACTTTCTTATTTACATCTGAGGGACACAAAGCCATCTGGGAACCTTGAATACTGTTTTTCTGGATGTCTGGCTTTCTCACAAGGCCAGATACCAACTCAACACAGGCAAGGTCTGGTCTGAAACTTTTGCCCCAGTTCCTTGGAGCTTTCTTACAAGGTCAGATGCCACTGCTGGCTCCAACACTCAACTGCTTTCATTTTATGATCAAACAGTGGCATGAGTGGGTTTCATGGTAAGGTCTGGATTTAAATTCTTGACTATAGCTATTCTTACTATAACTACGACCTGGTCAGCTTATCAAGAGAAAAAGATTATTTTGACTCAGTTTGAGAGGCCTGAGTCCATGATCACTTGGCCCCACTGCTTATGTAAGTGACGAGGCCACACATCATGATGGGAACATGTGGTAGAGCAAAGCTGCTGTCCTTATGGCTGGGAAGCAAAAAGAAAGAAAGGAAGAGACTGGAGTCCCCTTCAAAGGCAATACCCCACAGTAACTCATAGACCCCCACTAGGCTCCACCTCTTAAAGTTTCCACCACAAAATGGCTTAGTACAGGTGCTCTGCCTACAACTCTGCCACAGAGAAGAAACAGGGCAACAAAGGAAAATCCGTGTTTCAGTGTGTGGAAGGGGAGAGAACTCTGGAAATAAGCAAAGAAGTGATGGGAAAAGCCCAGAGCACAAAGCAGATTACAAGTTCAACCCTGGCTTCTAGGCCAAGGGGGATTTCCATAATGGCAGAAGAAGGTAAATGGGAAAATATAGATGGCCCCCATCTAGCCACAGACCCTATGCTGGAGAATTACACTGTCCTCACAAGATTTAGGTCCAGTTTGGAGAGCTAACTCGTCTAAGAAGTGCTGTACTTCAAAGAAGGAATTCGTAGTGGCACTCCCTGTACCCCAAGAAGCCAGACTACTACAACAACCACTGTTCAACACTATCCTGCCTTAGGGGCCAGCATCCAACCCCCCTGACCCTGCCAGAAGCTCAGTGGCAGTACATGCTGCATAGGACAGAGAACCTCGGTGTCCTATAGTTTCAGGACCAGAGGCTGCCAGAGCCAGCATTGTGGGCCCTACCACCTGCTTGCCTCATGGTAACTAGGGAAGCTGTTCTTCCCAGTCCACAGCCTTGGGATCGCTGCTTATGGTACAAAAAGCACAGGCACCAACTGTGTCTGACTCTCAGGAGCTGGGGAAAGTTTCAACCATGTCCTGCAGCATTTAGAATTTGACTACCATGTCCCCAACCAATGGTACCACCTGCACTCTCCATACCAGAACTAGGGAAGATCTCTCTACGAGTTCCAGCCCACTGCCTTGGAACTGTTGCTGCTGATACAAGAGGCCCTGCCACCAGCCCCAACTCCAGGAAATTAGCAACCAGTGCCCAAACCCCAGCATCACCTATACTCACCCCACTGGAACTAGAAGAGGTCTCTTCCGCAACCCACAACCTTCGGTCCCACCCATGTCCCACAGCTCCAAGAATATAACTACCAACATCACAAGTGCCAACCCATCAGCACTTTCCTGTAGTGCTGGGAACATTTCCATCCTTATCCTGTATCTCCAGAACTGTGGAAACCAAAGCCACAAGTCCCAGCAGAACTTACATTCACCCACTGAACTGATGGAAGGCCTCCTTCACAGCCTTGAGACCACAGCTACTGGTACTAAAAGCCTCAGTATCATGTACACTTGTCTCTTCAAATGGGAGAAGGTCCCATTTGGGTTTCACAGCTAACAGTGCCACAAGCCCCAGCACTACCCACAATTGCTCCCATGGGACTCAGGGAAGGTCCCCTTGCATCTCACAACCTCAAGTCTGTGGTTACCAGTTTCACAAACTTCAGCATCACCCACCTGATAGACCTGGGGAAGGTCCCTTCTCATCTTGCAGCACCAGAACTCTAGCTGCAGATTTTGCAGGCTTAGGTACCTCCCACATTCAACCTGAGGGACCTGGGTAAGATCCCTTTTCACATCTGTGGCTCCAGGATGGTGCTACAATGCTTTTTGTCACCGGTGCTTGCTCCATGGGACAGTCTTCTACATATCCCACCCCACGGCTGCTGCCATCACAAGCCCCAGTGCCACTGTTGTTCATCTCTGAAGTATGAGGACACATTACCTACTGCAGAGGTGTACAACTACTTTCATGAACCTCTGTAGTCTACACTATTAAGGGACTCTTAGACACTGCTAAAATAGTTACAGCCAAAGAAATCACAATGGCTACAATTTTTAGGTTGCCTATAACCAAAGTCAAAGCATCTACCCAACTGACACCCTACATCCCATTCAAATAAAAAAAAAAAAACTCTATCTACAAAAGCTACTCTGTAAAATTGGGAGAGACAACTACTATACCACATGTACAGACATCAATGTGGGGATGTTAGAAACATGAGATGTTATACCTCTAAAGGAATGTAGTAATTCTCCAGAAATAGATCTCAGTTTGAAGCAAATCTATGAAATGTCTAAAACAGAATTCAGACTAATGATGCTAAGGAAACTCGGTAAGATGCAAGAGAAGACAGTACAAAGAATGAGAAATTCACCAAAGAAATAAAAATAAAGAACCAATGAGAAGTTTTGGAGCTAAAGACTTCAATGAATTAAAATTAATTAGGTGTGTTTACAGCAGACAGTATAACAGGCAGAAAAAAAGGATCTGTAAATTTGAGGATGAGTCTTGATTCAACCTAGGCATACCAAAAAGGGAGAAAGGAAGAAAGATTAAAAGGAATGAAGAAAGCCTACGAGACATACTGGATACCACCATTAAGTTAGAACCAATGTTCACATTATGGAAATTACATAAGATTAAAGGTATTAAAACCCATTTTATGAATTATTAAGCTAAAGACTTCTAAGAGAATTGACATCCACATAGGAGAACTTCAAAGCCCCCTGGGGTGGGGGCAGGGGGGAGAAATGAACCAAGCCTTGTATGCACATATGAATAATAAAAGAAAAATGAAAAAAAAAAAAAAAAAAAAAAAAAAAAAAAAAAAAAATCTTTACTAAGGCATATTAAAAAGTACCAAAGAGAAAATTCAAAGAAAAACAGCAAGAGAAAAAACATCATGTCACAAGTAAGGGAAGGCCCATTATACTTATAACAGATTTCTCAGAAGACAGTGGGTTGATATATTTGACATCCCAAAAGAAAAAAAACTGTCAACCAAGAATACTATACCCAACACAACTATCCTTCAGAATGAAGGAGAAAGAGTCTTTCCAAATAAGGGAAACTGGGGAAATTCATTATCACTAGACAAGCCCTACAAAAAATGCTTAAGGGTGTTCTGCACAAAAACAACAAAAGGATAATAACCACAAACGTGAAACACACAAATGTACAAAACTGTACTAGGTGGACAGATAACACAAAAGAGAATCAAACTTTATCATGACAGAAACTTCCAAATTACAAAGATAAATGAGAGGTAGAGAGGAACAATGTACAAAACAAGCAGAAAATTACCAAAATAACCTGTCAGTAATAACTTTAATTATTATTGGATTAAATTCACCACGTGACATATAGGCTAACCAAATGGATTTTTTTAAAAGAGGGATATATATTCATTGAACTCTATATAGCATTGGACCACTGTACTGTGTTAGATGTTAAGTGTAGTTTTTAATCATAAAAGTAATCACTTTATTAACAAATACCTTGTAGCCAAACTTCGTTTTGGGAGGAAGGAGGTGATCTAGTCATCCAGAACCCCTTAGAATGCAAGGTCAGCTAGGTCAGCTCAGAGCTAAGATGAGCCTTTACTTCCTGGATATAGTGATGGAAGCAATGACTCAAGCCAGATGCTACTTATCTAGAGAAATTTTATACAAATGTTCTTGGTTTTTCAAGATTACCTATTTAAAAAAAACTACTTTATTATTTATTACAGTTTTTTAATTCATACTTCAATTTTAGATTTCAAAACTCTTGGAAGAATTGAGAGAGGCCAAAGAAAACCATACACCAGAGATGAAACATTTCATGGGATTAGAACAGAAAATTAAACAGATGGAAATGAGACATAAACAAAGAGAGCAGGAACTTCAACAGGTAAAGTAAAAGAGCACATTTACATATTTTCACAGTTCTTTAGTGCCTTTAATTTGCTATAATTTTGATATCTCTATCAGAAGTTATGTCTTAGATTATTCCTATTACATTTTGATCTTGTTAAAAAATCAACTTATAGCTTTTAAATGACTTTAAATCTTGAATACATTGGTTTCCCTTACATTTAGAGAGAAAAGGCTTGTACCTTATTTTTAATTAACGATTGGTGCCCAAGTTTTACATCTCACCCTGGAACAGGGCTTTGAGAACGATGTTCCATATTCTGTTCATTCCAATACAAAATATGTTAAAAGATGATCATGTGTTTCCTACATTTAATTAGGGTTAGGGCTTCAGCATACTAATTTGGGGGGAATATAAACATTTAGCCCATAACAAACAGTGTGAATTTATATACCCTTTGAAAACAGAAAATGCTACATATAACAGAGCCTTATGGTTGACTGAGTTCCCCATTAGCATGCTCCACTTTAGCTCTTGGAGATGGTTAAATGTTAATTTGTTCCCACTGAACTACAACAGTAATGTTGAGTTTTTGTATTTGCAGATAATACAGCAAACACACCAAGTAGTAGAAACTGAGCAAAACAAGGAAATTGAGAAATGGAAAAGACTTGCACAGTTAAAGAATCGTGAGCTGGACAAGTTCCGCACAGAACTGGATTCCATATTAGATGTTCTTCGGGAGCTGCACCGGCAGGGGGTGGTTGTGCCCATTACTTTTACAGATGGAGTAAATGCACCAGAGTTTTACTAGAAACTGGGATTTTGCATGACCTCATAGAAAGGCCTAGAGATGGATGAAATTGTGCCATTATCAGAAGGACAGCTTTTGAAAAATAAGTGTTCCAATGTGGCTTGCCAGAAGCAAACACCAAAGCAACACTTCAAAATAAATTTTTCTTAACAAGGAAAAAGAAGCATCCTGACGTACTTTACTGAAAACCATTAACTAGTCACATTTTAAATGATTTACAGATAGGTTCCTTAATGTCAGGTAATTATAGCTAGTAAGATTTTTTGCAAAGAATCTAACTTGTACGCTAGAATGAAAAGAAAAGAAAATTGCACAAGATTCAGCCACATTAGTATTGACCAAATGTGTACTCTTAATTTTCTTTGTGACAGGAAAAGGGTCTCTTTCTCATGGAGATGGGTAGAATATGAGCCCAGTGGTGTGGACAAGTTCATCAACCATCAGCTGACTTATAACACTTCCTCAGTAATTTGGAGGAGAATTGTCACTTCTCTAGGAAATCTCCACTCCTTCCTCTAGGGAGAAGGTGAAAAATACACTTCATAAATAATAAGGGAATTTAATACAGCCACTGTTTTAGGCTTTATCTCTTAAATAACAGTCCTAATTTTCAGCAATTCAAATTATAAACGGAATATGTTTTGTGTTTTCTATTGAAAAAGTAATATGTACCCATTAGAAAAAAATTAAATTTATAGCAGCCACATTTAAAAAAGTAAAAAGAAACTATGAAAATTGAGTTTTTACATTTTTTTCATACTAAGTCTTCAAAACATATTTTGTATTTATAGCACATCTCTATTTGGACTAGCCACATTCCAGGTGCTCAATCACCACATCCCAGTAAGTGCAATTCTAGAGTAGTAATTACACGGCAAAACACCTTGGAAGGGACAGGTGAACTAGTTCTTAATGAAACTGGGCAATAGATGTGAGGAATGGAAGTTGTTAAGTATAAGAAAGCTTTATTGTCTTAATGTCCAATATTTTTAATGTATCCTTCCTAAGATGACAGCAAAAATGTAGTTTGCTATTTTTTTAATGTGAAAATTTTAAGTTATAATACAAATAACTTATTATTTGTGATTTTGTGTGTCTTATCTACACCTTTAAATATATAGCTGTACCTGTCCTTCCATTTGTGTTTTTGACTGTTTGTGAGCCATTCCTTCTAAGCATAACCATAGCTGGTTCTAAAACATGGAGATGAGTGCAGAATCAAATGTTTATTAACAGAAATGAGATAGCCAATTTTGATGAGGATTCTATATTCTATTTTGGAATAACCTATACACATGGCAGATCTTTAGTTCTATCTACAGATTAAAGATCCATAAGTACTATCAGAAATGTTTGTTATAACTAAAAATCCCAGAAATTATATCTCATTCCTTAGTCATTGCTTTGGGTGGAATGGAAGGGGTGGGATGAGAACACAGATGAATTCATAAAGCTTTTTGAATAGGAAGATTTTGTGGAAATTTAAGCTCAAAAAATTGTTACTCCTCTACAAATCTGATGACTTATTTTAGGTGTTGACTTTACTGGGTTAAGCTATATCCAGATCGGTTACTTCTAAGTTTGTCTTTAATGTTTCAGGAAGAGATTGGCATTTAAATCAGTGAACTAAGAAAGATCTGCCCTCACCCAGTGTGGGAGAGGACCATCCAAATGGTTGAGAAGGGTCCAGATAGAGGGTAAAGGCAGAGAACAGGCAAATCTACTCTGGAGCTAGGACAGCCATTTTCTGCCCTTGGTCATCAGAACCCAGATTCTTGGGCCTTCAAACTCCAGTACTTACACTAGCAGCTACCCAGTTTCTCAGGCCTAAATCTTAGGCCCTTGACTTAGAGTAAGCCAGTGAATTCCTTGATTCTCTAGCTCACAGAGAGCCAATCATGGGATATGGCCTCCATAATACCCTCCTGTCTTCCTACCTATCTATCTTCTATTAGTCTGTTCCTCTGGAGAACCCTGAGAAATACAAGTCTGGGTGCTGTGAGTGGTTCTAATGGGATTATCTTCAGCATGGGTTTTTTGAATTAGTATTGGGGTTTCTGGAATTTGATACCTAATCTGATTATATTTAAAAAGGCTAAAGACTATTTACAGTAGTACTGAGGTCTTAATAGCCAGGGTATGAACTCTTTACAGAGCTATATAAAATATCTTCATTGAATACTACTGATCATCCATGTACAGGAGGCAAGTAACATACTGACTGATAGAATATAATGGCGGTTGCTTCTAATGTTGCTAGTAAAAATAATAAAAGGATGAGCTAAGGATTTGAATTCCTAACTAAAGCACTCCGTAAATAACCTGAGGGCTTCTAGGTGTACCCAGAGGGAGAATCCTGATTCCTGTAACCACAAGGCTGAAACTGGTGAAAACAAACACAAGTTCTCATCATAGAATTAGCTGAATTACAAAAAAAAATTGAACTCCCAGCCTCAAAGAGTATCTATTGTTAAAGAGAAGCATTGAGCAATAGCAACCAAAAGTGCAATAATAGCTAGTATGTAAATTTAGCCAAGGCCAAAGCTTCATATACTTAAAACTGTAAAACTGATAAAAGAAATGAAAGAAAACATAAATGGAAAGATAAACTGCATGAGTTGGGAGAATACTGGTAAAATGTCCACATTACCCAAAGGCATCTACAGAGTTAATGCAATCCCTGTTAAAATCTCAATGACATTTTCTCACAGAAATACAAAAGGCAATCCTAAATTTGAATGGAACCAGAAAAGACCCCAAAGAGCCAAAGAAATCTTGAGTTAAAAAAACAAAGTTGAAGGCATCCCACTATCTATACTACACAGCTATAATTAACAAAACAGCATAGTATTTGCATAAAAATAAACTGACCAATGAAACAAGACTGTGTTCAAAAATTAAACCTAGCTTTAATAATCTTCAATGAAGGGTCAGGCACCAGTGGCTCATGCTTGTAATCCTAGTTACTCAGGAGGCAGAGACCAGCAGGATGGTGGTTTGAAGCCAGCCTTGGACAAATAGTTCCCATGACTCTTATTCTTAAGAAAAAAACCCATCACAAAAAAAAAAAAAAAAACCAGTGGAGAGGCTCAAGTGGTAAGAGTGCCTGTTTAACAAGTGTGAGGCCCTGAAATCAAACCCCAGTGCTGAGCCAAATATAATAATAAATTTCAGTAAAGGTGCCAAGAACACATAATGGAGAAGTAAAGTCTTTTCAGTAAATAGGACATAGAAAAGTAGTTATCTACACATGATAACTAATGAGGGCCTTAGTAATGAGAACGAAATGAGGGCCTCATCTCATAAACAATAATCAACTCAGATGTAAAAACTGAAGCTAAAATTGCTAAAGAAAATAGAAGAAAGAGCTTCATAACATTGGCCTAGACAATAATTTTTTGCAGGGGAAGGGGAAAGAAATGACCTCAAACACAAGCAACAAAAGAAAACAGACATGCATCAAACTAAAAGCTTCTTTGTATATCATGGAAACCACAGAACGAAGAGCAGCCCACAAAATAAGAGGAAGTACTTGCAGTACATGCATCTGACCCAATATACAAGGAACTCCATTCAAGAGCAAGAAAACCTATGTTTTTTTTAAAGTGGGCAAAGCACAGGAATAGACATTTCTCAAAAGAGGACATAGATGGCCAACAGGTTCACAAGAAAATGTTCAACATCACTAATCATCAAATTAAAACTGAATTACTGCCTCACACCCAGAATGACAGTTATCAAAAAGATGAAACAAGTGTTGAGGAGGATGTGAAGAAAAGGAAACTCAATACACTCACTGTTGGTGGCAATATAAACTAGTATAGCTATTATTGAAAGTGGTGTAGGGGTTCCTCAAAAAACCAAAAATAGAAATACTAGATGAGCCAGCAATGTCACTACAAATATATATCCAAAGGAAATAAAACCAGTCTGTGGAAGAGATACCTGCACTCCCATGATCATTGCAGCACTGTTCACAGTAGTACTTAAGTGTCTACCAATGGATAAAAATGTGAACCAGGCAGGGACCTTCGTGGGGACAAGGGCACATGTAGGCCCAAAAGCCTCAACTCAAAACCTTTTATCCATTAAAACTGTGGTATGTGCTTTTTCTTATCCCCTCACTTCCCCCACACAATCGTGCCTTAGACCATTGCCTATTTCCTACTTTAAAAAATGAATGTTCTTTCTTGCCTCTTCATTCTCCTAAGCAATCTTACCAGTACAAGGGCCAGGCATGGTGGCGCACATCTGTAATCCCAACTATGCAGGAGGCAGAGGTAGGAGGATTCCAGTCTGAGTCCGGCCCCACACTAAATAAAGTAAAAAGGGGCTAGGGGTGTGGCTCAAGCGGTAGAGTGCTTGCCTAGCAAGTGTTAAGTTCAAACTCCAGTATCACCAGAAAAAAGTGCACCAATAAAATGAGGATGCCTCCAACTCAGTGTCTCCAAAATTAAACTAAATGAGAGAATGAGATTTAAGGATCCTGTAATAAGTACACCAGGCCCCTTAAACCCTTTATTGTTAAAAGCAAATTGTGTGTGTTTTTGTCATTCCCCCATCATGCATTTTATTAATAGCTACAGCAGAATATAATACATGGGTATATGGAAACATCACAATGAACCCCCCTGTAAAATTACCATAAACTATCAAAAAAAGTTTAAATATGGGGGGAATCTTTGCTCCCATTTCCTTCATGGGGAACAGGAAATATTTCCCTCTCTTTTCTTCCCCACCCCTTTGTCAATGCTTTATCTTATTATACTAAAATAAATCCTTGCTTAAACTTCCAAAAAAGGAGGGTGGGAACAGAGGCTGGTGGAGTAGCTTGTAGAGCACCTTCCCTAGCAAGTGTGAGGCCCTGAGTTCAAGTATAACCAAAAAAAAAAAAAAGGGTAGCAAAGTAAAGCAGGTCATGTCCTGGGGTGAGTACCAATGGGAGGGGAAGAGCACATAAGGAGAGGGTGAATATGGTGAAAGTATTTTGTGTTCATTATGAAAATAGAACAATGAAACATGTCAAAATTGTTCTACAA